TGACTTTAAAATAATAGAATTTTTTTCCTATAAGCATTTTCATTTTAAATAAAAAATATATAAAAGACCTATCTTTTTTTTAAAAAAAAAATATTTACATTAAATTTATATTAGAATAAAAACATTAATGTTTATTGTATATTTATTATTATATATTGCTTACGATTTAGAATCACTTTTCTGTTTTTTGTGGTTTTTACTGAAAACCAATTTTCTGTTTTTTGTGGTTTTTACTGAAAACCTGTCTTGGGTCAACTAAGATTTCATAACATAGCTACATGCCTCATGATTGAAGTTTGGAAAATTTATAAATAAATATCTATTCTATCTAATTTTTGGTGCGGATTACTTATTTTTTATTTTTAAACAATTTTTTAATGCATTTATATTTTTGATTTTATTATTAATTAATGAAAATCGTATTACTTTTGTAATCCGCATCATTATTAACACCTTTTCTGCATATAAAAATCAAAAAAATGTTTGCTGTACCTCTAGCTATGTTATGAAACATGTTTTCAAACTTGGCTAGTTTAGAAACAAATTTTTCTAGTTTATTACGCAAAACATTGTTTACATTTCAAAACAATCACGTGACCTTAAATTCTGCACGTCCCAAGCAAATATGTAATAAAATTTATGAAAACAACTTTCTTAGAGAGACGAATTTTGAAGTATTAAATAAACAAAGTTAGATGGTTTTTTCTTTAGAATTGTGCATAAATTTATTATCAACTGGGTATTTAAAGATTGTTTTCTATTTAAAGAACTTATTAGTGAATCAACTCATTATAAAACAGTTTTTTATGAGAATAAAAACACATTATTAAACAATTTAAATTAGCTAATTGTATATTTAAAGAAACGTTTTATTTTTGTGAGAAAAGATTGATTCAAGTGCCATAAAATAATTCTATTAGTAAAAGCGAGGTTAATTCAAAAACTTTAACTCGGTTTCTGTCATGAATTATTTTATTAGAGTCTTTATTTATTAACAACCTAACACCATATTATTAAAGCTATATGCATAGAAAAAAATTGCTTAAGTTTTTTAAAGGCTTTAGCTTAAAATGTTAAGACTTAATAATTCAAAATCGAAATCTGGCTTTATTTTTTAATGCAATAAATTTATCAACTTAGTGAATTATTTTCTAAAACAAGAACTTCTAAATTTAAAAACGTGGTCATTTCACAGCTAATCCCCTTTTTAACGCCATTTTTCATAATTTTGCAAAAATGCAGATTGCTTGAAGACTTGAATAAAGACTGATTCAGTTAACTTTTAACAATTAAGTTAAACGATGATTGTATTTGATAATAACTATCGGAAATATATTTTTCTAATTTTTTTTTTTTTGATAAGTAACAACAAATTACTAAAATTTAACCAAGTTCATCTTTTGTCGCGCTTTTTATAAAATAAAAGAAGTTTTAATACTATTGTATTAAATGCCATATGATAAAACATTTTATTGTTGTTTTTGTTCCTTTTACAAAACAAAATTATCTCTTATATTTCAAAAGTTATAAATGTTTTAGTAACACACCCAAAGTCAAAATTTTTAACAAAAATCAAGAAGCCGTAAAACTCACTCTGAAACAGCCGTGTATGATACAGATTGCCCTGTAAAACAAAAAATTCATATTAAAACAATGTTTTTACAAGAGGGTTCGTAGCCAAGTACTTATATAAAATTCAATGACTTTTTTGAAAAATCAGATGAATTTCCCTGACCATTTTTAACAATGGCTTTTACGAAATGTTTAAAATTACTATCCACTGTAATGGAAATGCTAAAATTGTACATGCTTTGAATGACAAAACTTATAAAACTTAGCTACTTGTTGAGTTGGATATTAGTATGCAACTAATTATACATGTCACTATGTATCTTATTATTAAGGATGACTAAAAATGAGAAAATATTTTGGAAATTTGACAAGTCATAAAACAAAAATTTTACCTGATAGTGAAAAACATTTCTCCTGTAAAAATTATTTTTTTTAATTTATCTAAAAATAGTTTCTTTTAATTAAATAAATCTTTATTTTATCTAATAGTTTTATCTTTACCAAAAAAAAAAATTCTTTTCAAACAACCTAACTTTTAAAAAAAGTGTGACTCATAAGGTTTTCAAAATACAGCATTCAATTGTGAAACGAGTAACTTCTAAACTAGAATTACTGATTTTTCCATGACTATCTGCTACTCTTAAACTACTATTAACTACTCTTGAAGTGTTTATTGACCTCTCTAAGGCCTTTGATACTGTGGACCATGATATTTTTCTTTACAAACTTTAAATTTATGGAATCAAAAATAATAATTTTAAATGGTTTTGTTCCTATCTAAAAAATCGCAAACAATGCGTATCTTATGACAAAACCTACATTAAATTAGAAAATATTACCTGCGGAGTTCCTCAGGGATCTATTTTAGGGCCTTTGTTGTTTATTATTTATATCAACGATATTTACTTATCATCTAGTATACTAAACTTTAATCTTATTGCTGATGACACTCAAGTTTTTTATACTCACTCTAACATAAGACAATCTTACCACTATGAATAGTAAACTTGATAACCTTAATAATGGTTTAAAGCCAACAAACTCTCTTTGAATTCTACTAAAAGCAAATATACTCTCTTTTCTAAATCCTCTAAATCTAAAACGCTGCCGTTAAAACTCCCGGATATTTTATTAGAAAAAACCAAGTTACGACGGACATACTGCGTTAAATTCGTAGGCGTTTTAATCGATGAGCAAATAAATTTGAAAAAGCATATTAATCTAATAGAAAATAAAATTTCAAAAAGTATTGGAATCATGTATAAAACTAGATATATGTTAGATATAAACTGTTTAAAATCTATTTACTTTTCATTTGTTCAAAGCTATATTAGTTATTGTAACATTGCTTGGGCAAACACGTATCCGTCAACACTAACTTGTATTTAAAAAAAAACAAAAACAGGCAAGCCGCTTTATATTAAATGTTAATAAATACGCCAGTGCTAATCCACTGCTTCGTAAGCTTGGAGTACTGAATGTTTACCAATTAAATATCTATAATATTTTTTTATTCATGTTCAGATTAAAATATCATATGCTACCTAATATTTTTGAAGACCTTTTCTTTATTATAGATCATAAATATCATACTAAGCATTCGTTGCTTAATTATCAGGTACCAAAAACTTTGTTAAAACAATCTGAATTTTCAATAATTTACCGAGGGCCACATTTGTGGAACTCATTTCTCCTAAATAATAGTAAAACTACAGCTTCAATCCAAACTTTTAAAAGTATCTTAAAAAAACAGTTACTTGATTATGACGTATCTCAAATATTATTTGACTTCTAATTTTTATTTTGTCCTCTCTTATTTTTATTTCGTTAACTTTTCTTTTTGTTTAAAAAGCGGCATCACACTTTATATCATTACTTATCTTTATATTTGTATTGTATTTGGGGGAAAAAAATATATATTTAATATTATTTTACTGAGATTGTAATATATATAAACATGTGTATGTGTATATGTGTATGTGCATGTGTATATATGTATATGTATGTATGTGTACGTGTATGTATGTGTATGCGTGTATAAGTATGTATATATATTTTCTTATATGATGGGTAACTTTTAATTTTTTAATTTTATTTTTTTTTGGTTTGATATGTAAATGATACAAAAGGGCTGGATGATAAGACTATCGTCTTCTGTCTGTTCCTGTCATATCTTAACTCAAAATGTATATATTGTAAATAGTTTATTATAAATATGACGAAAATAGTTGTAAAAATAAAACTGCAGAATTGAAAATAGTACGCCAAAAAAAAACATTGGCTAAATGTTGGCCCAACGGAATAAACTTGCCAATGTTAAAACTTACGTTGGGTCAATGTAAGCTTACTGTCTGGCCCTACTCACCTATAGATATATCTTTAATGCTTTATCTACCTATAATAGATATGACATTAAGAATAATTACCCAGCTTACATTAACGTTAACTATTTGCTGCGATCGTTCTATGAACGTTCATAGAACGTGCTTGAACGTTCACAATGTTCATCGAACGTTCTTGAACGTTTTGTGGTAACTGACAAACTATTCATTTATTTAAAAAGTATCTCAGATGTTACAGAATTCTAAAAAGTTATAATACAAAAAACATTTTTAACACACTCACTCTAAACGGATTTCAAAAAACGTGGAACAGTTTTTTAGCACAAATTTCGGCTCCGTGAAGCGAATTTTTCCGCGTACTTATATATATATATATATATATATATATATATATATATATATATATATATATATATATATATATATATATATACATATATATATATATATATATATATATATATATATATATATATATATATATATATATATATATATATATATATATATATATATATATATATATATATATTACTACTTTAAAAACTAGGATTCTCAATAACAGTGGTATTCAGGTTAAAAATTGAAATTTTTCTATAAATCTCCTGTTTAGGTTCTTTAATGTAGTTCAAATGTCCCTTATGAAATCTTAAATTAAGAGTTTTTAATCCTAAAAAGTTACCGAATTTCTTCCCTTTCTTTTTTTCTCTTCATTTTCATTAAAGAAAAAGGGAAATTATGTGAATTTTAAACTTATTTCTTTTACTATATATACTGATATTAAAACAACTATTATCATCTTAATAATACTTTTATTTGCACAAAAACTCTTAATTCGATAAAGAGAGATACAAACTATTTGTAGTATTTACATACTTGCTTGCCATTTTTTAAGATTATTTTAACATAATTTTATGCTAAAACAAGATGAATGTAACTTTTCCGCGAGAGTAGTGTAATGTTGTTTTTAACATTTAAGATTATTTTAGTTTCCAGCCTTCAAATAAAATCCCATGTAAATCCCACAAGAGACCCACGTGGGATTTCCCATGTGGGTAAATACCATATGGTTACCACATGTAACCCATGTGGGATTATCCATATGGAATTGAAGTAGCAAAATTCTATATGGGAAAGTCCCATGTGGGTAAATACCACATGTAACCCATGTGGGATTTACCCATATGGGTTTTAAGTAACAATTTTCCATACGGATACTACATGGGAAAATCCGTCCCATATAAATCCCATTAATCTCACACGGAACCCACGTGGAACCCATGTGGGATACAGTTTTAATTTTTACTGGGAAGAGAATAAGAATTTAATTTCACAAATGGGAGAATATGACATACCACTATATGTACTTTCCAAGTAATATTCAGCTCTGCATTTAGAAGTATATTTGCATACTGCTGTAGGTCAAAAAATGATACTTTGAATTTTTCAAAAACTGAAAAAACATGACTGCCTAATTTAAATGTGCACTATTTAAGTTTCGGAAACTTTCTGAGGCAATAAACAATAGTTATTATACTAGCTTGAGATGCTAAAACATCTCTTTCTAAAATATCTACTTTTTCTAAAGGTTTTGTGGCGTTATTATCATCAAAGCCTATTCTATGATAACTTCGAAGAAAAATATAAAGCTCTTCGAGCCGAATCGTAAAAAGAGGCCAATAATCTAAAAGGAGTCTACCAGGTAGTGTGACAATCCCAATAAGAAGATGTAATTATGGTGGTGGAACCAAGCGAATAATTTCAATTTTAGAACTTTTATCAAAATAAACAAGACTAGGACTAATCACGTTTTTAAGTTCTATTATCTGCAATCGCTATGCCCCATTTTCAAAAAATAACTTGTAACGATGATCAAGAAAACGTAAAGTTCTCGGAAATTTTACCATTTTACCATTTTCTAGGGTACATTCACCTTCACACCATTAGCAAGCATATTTACCAGAATGAGAAGATAAACTCAAAATATTGTTAGCACATTTTAAATTAAATGCAAAGTGATACGTAACATTATCAAGATTAATCTACTTAAGATTTTCTGCACATTTCCATAATCTTCAGAAATATCTTCTAAAATAGCAAGTATAAAACACTTCCAAACTCCACTTTTGATGTGTATCTCATTTTTATTGGTCTTGTCAAAAACATTTACGATTACTTTAAGAAATTGTTGACCTGCATCAATGAATATGAATTTACCATGCTGGAAGAGGATTTAAATCTCTTTCCATTAAATTACTTAGAATAAATTTAGAAGTGTCATGAATAAATACCATATCTCTTGCTACAGTTTCACCATTCTAAATAAAATCATCTTTTTCTATTTTACCTTTAGACCCAATTCTTGTTGCAATGATCTTGTCATGTTAACTACATAGTACTCACCAACAATAGATGACCCTAGATTCTTACGCAGACTTGATACTATTTCTTTTTTTTATTTTTTTTTTTATTTTTTTTATTTCCAGTATAGAAGTCAATTCCGCAACTGTTTGGAATGGTATCTGATTGAAAGACTTTCAGGAAAATTTATCGTCTTTAGTTTATATGGTTAAAGTTATTAGATTCCTACCTTAAAAATAAATTATAAGTAAGTTAAGTATACTTTTTACCACAACTAAAGTTACACACAAAAATTTTAAAAATGTTAGCAATCAAAGTAATTCTTAAATTATATGAAGCAACTTGCTCACATAATGTGGAGTTAAGGTTTTATGACAAATTAATTAGAATTAAAACAGCATGACAAGAACTACAATTGCTAAATTTTTAAAGTATAAAATTAAATATAAAATATTTAATTTTATACCTTATATAAAATTTCTAAAGTATAAAATTAAATATAAAATATTTAATTTTATACCTTATATAGAAAAATGTATGTATACATAAATATTGACAGAGGATAACCTACCGAAAGTTGGTAACGGATAAATAAAATTTATCCTACAGAGAATTCTTTTTTATTGTTTGAGATTATCACATGTCAAAATAAATTTTATTTTTTATACCGTAAAATGAAAATTTAATTTAGAAAAAAAAAAATAAACGAAAAAAATTTGAAAAGTTTAATCGGATTTTCCATTAAATAAATAGACTGCCAGCCCATACCGAAACCCTCATTCAATACATGTACACTCAACGGCGCCTATCCTTAAATTGGTAAATGAATGTACACTTCACTGCGCCTATCCTTAAATTTGTAAAAGTATGTAAAATCCTCGGTGCCTATCCTTAAATCTTCCAGTGCATGAACACTCTATTGCGTTTATAAATGCATGAACACTCATTGTGCTATTCCAAGCGCATATCCCTAAATAATTTAGTCAATAAATAGGCATATTAGAATAAAACATAGAAAGCATAGAAAACTACATCAAATAAGTAAAGGTTGGGATTAGTACCCCAAGCGCATAGTCAAGGTTTAACAACCCTATACGTTATGCTACATAAATTTACAGTTTCATGATTTAAAAATAATTATATTTTATTATCACACGGGATGTTTTTAAACTAATAAAAATAAACTTTCGGTGGGATAACTTTAATTTTTCCGCAATCGACTTTTGGTAGGTAATCCACAGACATAAATATTTGACAACTTTTTATTTACTTATCAAATAATTTAATATTTGTAAACTTCTTGCAAGGATAAAAAGGAGCAACTGCATGTCTTTTCGTTTGGAGATTCTTCAGCTAGTGTCTTACCCCGAGATGGTTGAACAATACCACTAGGTTCAGCCCTGCGTCTAATTCTTGGCCTGTTAACTTAATTCAGAAACATATACTTTATAAAAAAATATTTTTTTAATTATTTATGTATTAATCATTTAATTTTAATAAAATCTTGAGATACTTTACTCATACAGTTTGACAGATAAGTACATGATCCCTTTCTCAGCAAATTTATGTTTCTTCTACAATTTGAACATATTACATCAGGGCAAACAACGAAATCTTTATTATACTCAGGCCAAGTATATTTTTTGATTTTGTTTCTATAGGTGGTTGTACTTTTGATAAACATTTTGAATATTGGCCTTTTTTTTCCAAACAAACTGCACAAACACACTGTTTCAAGTCCTCCATTTTTACCAGGTTGTGGGTTTTTCTCCATTTACTTTTGTTATCAATTGAAAACAATGGTATATTATATAACTAGATATATTATATAACCATATTTCTAATAACTAGATATATTATATAACTAGATGTCTAACTTCATTCCAAAAAGTGAAGCCGCTTTTTGCCCTTTTTACATATGGCGGATTATGTTTGTAAACAAATATTTTTAACTTTTCTTTTCTTAAATGAAGTAAATATATCTTAAAATTTAAATACTATTTACGTAAAAGTGTAATACGGAAATTATAATATTTGTAAAATAAAAATGTATAATTCCCTTAGTTTGTTTTTGATTAAAAAGGGATTTAAGTTTAAAGGTGAGTTTCCACTCATCCGTTTTTCTATATTTGAAACAACTCTTTCAAAAACCGTTAGTTTTTACTGAGATTTCGATGTTATTTCAAGAAAAAATAAAAACTGGCGCACGCATTACACAACAACCGAATAAAATATCTACAAAAAGTTAACCATCAAACTAAATATTTTTAACAGATACTAATAAAACAAGATTTTTATTTTACAAGTTATTTTGATCTGTGTTTCATTATAAAAAGGCGCACTTCCAAATGTAATTCAGAAGTCTTTTAAACGTTCCATGCTGTTAAAAAAAATTATTCTGGTTCCAAAAACAAAACGTTCATTGTACGTTTTTTGTAGGTCCAGTGATTGCTGGATTAAAATTGGAGACACATGTTGCATTATATTATAACAACTTAATGAAAAGTAAAAAAAAGTTTCTATCTATGTTGCAAATGATTTAAATTTTTAATGATTTTGGTTTAAAAAGTTACAATAAATGAGATTATTTCTTATTTCTAATTACATTTTAGATCCCTGTGAAGAAAGTGAATGTTGCAATAATCTATGGGTGAGGCAAAGTAAATATATAGGATATTTAAAAAAACAATTGAATTCAAAATTATTTGGCCAGCACCTAGTCGAAGATCTTGTTGTTAATCCTATTAATGATCATATTGAAAATAACAATCCAAGTTCGCCATTGGTCATGTCATTCCATGGATGGACTGGGTCTGGAAAAAATTTTGTTTCACAAATAATTGCCAAATCTTTGTTCAAAAAAGGTATGAATAGTAAATTTGTTCATATAAAAGTTGCAACAAAAGATTTTCCTCATAAAAAAATGTTAACAGAATACAAAAATGAATTATCTAAACATATAGAAAAGAATGCTAGGCTATGTGAACGAACATTATTTATTTTTGATGAACTTCATAAAATGCCAGAGGGTCTAGGCAATACTATTGCTCCTTATTTAGACTACAATGTTCAGTTAGATGGTATTGATTATCGCAAAAATATATTTATTTTTTTAAGCAACTCTGTTGATGAAATAATTAACAATTATACCATTAATTATTATAGAAGTAAGAAATCAAGAGAGACAATAGACAGTAAAATATTGGAACAACTAATAGCTACTAATGCTTTGAATTTACCAGGTGGGTTTAAAAACTATAATATCATAAAAAAAGCATTAATAAATGTTTATGTTCCCTTTCTACCTTTGGAAAGAAAACATATCCAACAATGCGCAGAAGAAGAAATTTTAAAGAGAAACATAGAAGTCAAATATTTTGTTTTAGAAGCTATTGCTGATGAAATGCTTTATTTTCCTGACAAAGAACAATGGTTTTCAGCAACAGGTTGTAAAACAGTTAATAAAAAAGTAACATCATATTTATAAAGATAACATTTCCACAAATGATAAAAATAATATTTATAATTATTTGGTATATAATTTTTTAGTTATTTTTTTTAAATAAATAATTTTATATATTTATAATAATATATATATATATATATATATATATATATATATATATATATATATATATATATATATATATATATATATATATATATATATATATATATATATATATATACACTCTTGCATGGTAGTTGAAAAGAGTTTCCCATAAACTGTAGTTTTAAAGAGCGCGTTAATAAACCAGACCAGGAAAAGTTTAAAAACTTAAACTTTTTTTTTTTTTCAAATGATAGACTGCCTGCCCAAACCAAACCCTCAGTCGAATATATATATATATATATATATATATATATATATATATATATATATATATATATATATATATATATGTATATATATATATATATATATATATGTATATATATATATGTATATATATATATATATATATATATATATATATATATATATATATATATATATATATATATATATATATATATATATATATATATATATATATATATATATATATAATGCTGCGTGTTAGCACATTAATTACAAGTAGGCTGGACAAATTTAAAAGTTATATTTATATAACACTCAAGGCAGCTAATTCACGTTCTGGAAAATATTCATTTTTTGCGTTTTAGTAAAAAAGGTATGTTTAAAGAATTTTTTTAACACAAATAAAAAATAAAATGAGATTTTTTTATTTCCAATCCATCTTGTCCCTATAACTGTATAAATTTAAACTTTTTTTAAGTTCCTCAAGTTTAGGTATAAAATTTTGTTTCATGGCTGATGTATTATTTTTTAAAATAAAATGAGGTTGATGCTTAATAAAATAATTGATCCTTGATAATAATTGATAATAAAATAATTGATGCTTAATAATAATAAAACGAGGTTGATGATTTTGGAATAATATTACGATTGATGAAAGTAACATATTAATTAAAGAAAACAGCATTTTAAAATAAGTTTTAAGTAATACATTCATCTTCTAACGAGTCATATGTCTACAAATATATAAAAGGGGAAAAAACAATTTAGTTATTTTATGTTTGAAACCCGTTTTTTTGATTTAATAACAGAGTTTTTATTATTTTGAATGTGATGAACACAATATTTGACATACTGATTGTTAGACTTTAAAAGTTTATTCTCTAAAGGCTTATTTAAAAAGTCTAAGCTCAACTTTAAACAATACCGTGATATGTATCACCCTTATTTTATAATTCCAAAATGCTATTTAATAAAAATCTGGTCTTGAAATTGTAAGTAATTATTGTAAATATATATATATATATATATATATATATATATATATATATATATATATATATATATATATATATATATATATGTATATATATATATATATATATATATATATATATATATATATATATATATATATATATATATATATATACATATATATATATATATATATATATATATCAGCGGAATACTTAACCATTTGGTTTTGTGGAAGTAACAGTATTTATAGTTTTAACGAAAACCTAAAATCTTGATCTAAAGACTCTGTAGTTTTCATTCGTTTGTAATCATGTGAAATAAATCATATGGTTTTTAGATCGAGACTATTAAATAATTAATATCAAAATATTACAAAAATTCTTTCACTTCATTTTAATTATAAGCAATATAAAAAACAAGATCATTTTTTTAGTTGAGCATTTAAAACAAACTGGAGAATTATGCCAAAATTGTTATATACCACATAGCCTTTTTAAAATGTTGCATTTCCTTCTCAACTCTTATCGATGTATAATACAAAAAAACTAAAATCAGTGTATACTTGTATTTGGGTTGATAGTCGATAAATAAAACGACGAAAATTTAGCATTTTTATCTTCCGTAACTAAAATTGCTCTTACGAAAGTTGAATAATTGCGAATTCATGTTCTGCAACGAATTCTGCAAAAAAACAATTAATAATAATACTTCCTTAATAACGTTTTACAAAAAAAAAACTTGCGAAAAAATCATTTCGAAAGAATACTTGCAAAACAGCTCCTTACGATATGAGCTGTTTTGCAAGTATTCTTTCGAAATGATATGAGCTGTTTTGCAAGTATTCTTAATATTATTTTACTGAGATTGTAATATATATAAACATGTGTATGTGTATATGTGTATGTGCATGTGTATATATGTATATGTATGTATGTGTACGTGTATGTATGTGTATGCGTGTATAAGCATGTATATATATTTTCTTATATGATGGGTAATTTTTAATTTTTTTATTTTATTTTTTTTTGGTTTGATATGTAAATGATACAAAAGGGCTGGATGATAAGACTATCGTCTTCTGTCTGCTCCTGTCATATCTTAACTCAAAATGTATATATTGTAAATAATTTATTATAAATATGACGAAAATAGTTGTAAAAAAAAAACTGCAGAATTGAAAATAGTACGCCGAAAAAAAACATTGGCTAAATGTTGGCCCAACGGAATAAACTTTTTTCTAATCATACAACAAGCTTAATGATTTTTACCTCATTTTGTTATTAAATGATGCTTTTTTTAAATACTGTTAATTGAGCCTTGGATCAAACAAGTTCAAATCCAAAATGGTTCTATAAAAGATTGCGTAAAAGACTTTTGATCTTTTGTTGTAAACTGAGCTATATCACATCGTATCAATGTGATTCAAAAATTAATGTTCGCATTTTTTTTGTGGTATTTCAGGTACTTCAAGGAGACATAATGGTCGCATCACAGAGCACCATAAAAAAGCATTTAACTTGAAAGTTTACGCTTTCTTCATATCGAAAAAAATCTGAGTAGGTATTGAACCATAGATCAGTGAAGCATTCTATATTTTCTTGTATTTAAGATTCCTCACCCTGCTGCTTTTTATTAATTATTGTATACATATAAGTTTTCAGCTTAAGAAAATATTAAAAGAATTAATTTTTAAATTTACTTTTAAGGTTCATAGTTTGCAGTAAGGTATTGGATCAAACTTTTATTTGTTAGAACCATTCAATAACGACAAAGCGAGAGAGCAGTCGCTATAGCTAGCTCATTGAATCTACTCTTCTTCTTTTTTTAATTTTGTTTAAAATAGTTTTTTATCTAAAGTAGATTATGAAGCTTCTCCAAGCCCATCGCACGCTCTACATTAATTTGAATAAATTTTACTGTGTGCACAGTAAAATCGAATTTTTTATTAAAAATATTTATTATATATTAAAAATATTTTTTAAAAAACAAGAAATATTTTGAGAAATAATAATCCTATCACGCAATTTATTTTTAAAAACAAGAATTATATTTCTTGTCTTGAGAAATAAACTTCTTAAACGATGGTTATTAGATACTAGACAACATTTTTTCGTAAGAAGATTGAGAACAAGAAATTACATTTTTTTTGTACCGAATATTAAAAAACATTCAAAATCGTCCATGTTCATTTCGCAAATGCTATTTCCGAAATTTAGCATTTCGCAAGTTGACATACTAAATAAAACTGTTTTGCTACATACGAAGGTAGCAGTTTCGGAACTCGCACTAGTAAAACAAGCATTTTCTTCAAACGACGTTTTGAAGTCTTTAAAAACAATTTGTTTGCAAGACTGATTTTAATTGTGAAAGTTAACATCTTTAAATCCCGAACTTTTTTTAAATCCTAAAACGTTTTAATCAAGTTTTATTTTAACTATAACAACATATTAAGTTTTTACAGTTTTTTTTTTAAATATTGAAAAAAAAAAAAAAATTTCTTCCGAAACGAAAGTATTTTGCATCACAACATACGAAAGAGTTATTAAGGGAAAAAAACTTACGAAAATTACCATAATAAATATATATAATGATGTTTATTAAACTCATTATGTATAGTAAAAGTAAGCAAGATGCGGAGAAATATACATGTGTTTTTTTTTAATGCATATGAAATAGAAATATAAATATTTAAAATTTCAATTAAATTAAAACAAAGTTTTTCAAATGGTTTTTCGAGGCTAAGGAATATGCTTACATATGACTTTTTTTTTTCTAAATCTGAGCTTGGAGGTATGATGCTTATTAAAAAAAAAACGATTATATGCAAGGGTTGTTTGCCGAAAAACTTGCGAAAATATTGCATTGTTATCTACCGTAATAGAATTGTTATTGCGGAAGTTGCAAATGCGAAAATGCGCATTTTGTAATGCACTATATATATATATATATAAATATATATATATATATATATATATATATATATATATATATATATATATATATATATATATATATATATATATATATATATATATATATATATATATATATATATATATATATATATATATATATATATATATATATATATATATATATATATATATATATATATATATATATATATATATATAAAGCCGGCGCGATAGGGGGCGTGGGGGGGGCACCCTACTATCAATGATTTTTAGTCGGCAAATTAAACCCTTTTAGACACTAATTAGTCGGCAAATGTCGAGCCTTTTATATATATAAAGGTTATGATATAAATACTTTATATATATAGGTTAAGATATAGGTCAATGGCACCCCCATACGTATATATATATATATATATATATATATATATATATATATATATATATATATATATATATATATATATATATATATATATATATATATATATATATATATATATATATATATATATATATATATATATTATATATATATATATATTATATATATATATATATATATATATATATATATATATATATATATATATATATATATATATATATATATATATATATATATAATATATATATATATATATATATATATATATATATATATATATATATATATATAATTTTCGGAAGACCGTATATGCGAGCAAAACAAGAGCCAGTAAAATAAATTTTATTATAACTTGAATCATCAAAGAAACCTCGACTTTTTAGTTTCCTTAAAAAGTTTTGAAG